AGTGTCTTCCACTGTCACAGCACGGCTTGAAACCTTTCCTAGCTTCACTACTTTTGACTTGCCTGGATGTTTACGAAGGCCAACACTCATTGATAGGCTGTTGAGTTACTTGGTCTTTTCTTGCATCTGAGCATGCGTGTGAGAGATCAGTGCAAGGTCATCGGCGAAGTCCAAGTTGCCCAGCTGCTGCCAAGGGATCCATTGTAATTCCATTACGTTTGCCTCTGGTGGCTTCTTTCATGACCCAGTCAATTACCAGTATGAAGAGAAAAGGCGAAAGCAAGCATCCTTGTCGCACCCCTGTCTGTACCTTGAATGGTTCTGAGAGTTGTCCTTCGTGGAAGACTTGGCAGTTTGTTCCATCATAGGTGGCCTTCACAAGCTTGACGATTTTCTCAGGTATTCCAAAATGCCGCATGTTTCCACAGAGTTTCCGTAAGTTAGTAAGTTACTCTAAAAACACGTCCCGTTTAGGAACAAACCAGTTTCATAAAAAAAAATAAACCAATGTACAAATCGCACCCCCCCCCCCCCCTGAAAATTAATAAGCAGACGGAAGGGGGGGGGGGGGTTATTCGATACCTTCGAGTACCCTCCATAAACTTAAATAATATCATTATTTCATGTCTTCCCCTCTCGTCTGTGTACAATTTTCTGTAACTCTTCTCCGGAGTTCACGTGACCTACCCTTAGATTTTTAATTACCATTCAGACGAGTGCTATACTACAGCTTGTGCTTAATAATTAGAAAAGGACTTAAGGAAAATCGGAAAAGTAAAGTTGATTATCTTGATAAACGACAGATATTCAAATTTACTTTTCCGATTTTTCTAAATATAAATGTATATTACAATAAACATATAACAATTTTCCACCCAAGTTGTTAACTTAGTTGTTTTAAGTCGGTTATCGTCTTTGTCAACATTTTTGCGGTCTTAGTGTCTTCTAATGAGTCAGAGATAGATCTATAATTTAGTAGTCAGAGGGCCAGATAAGGGTTATGATGACAATGACAATGACAATGACAATCTTTATTCATCTCGCAAGGAGAAACTTGTCTTGGTCGTTTACAATGTCAGTGGAATGTTACACAGTTTAGGTGCACTCACGCATACACACTACAAGACAGGGCACTAGTTTTACGAGCTGAAACAACCCACTTCGTAAACACACACACACACACACACTCTCTCTCTCTCTCTCTCTCTCTCTCTCTCTCTCTCTCTCTTTCTTTCTTCTCTCTCTCTCTCTCTCTCTCTCTCTCTCTGTATCATTTGTAACAGTAAGTATTCAGTAACCACCTCACTACTTTTGGTATGAATCATTTTCTATAATTATCTGTTCTTGCTCATAATGGGGCAGATGCGGGGAATCCCCTCCCAGTTCCCAGTCACACTCAGCGTACTTTTGAAACCACTGATCGTCGTCAGTCGGTGTTTGCGGAATGCGACGTAGCATTATCATGCTGCGCATTAAATCACTGCGCATTCACAAGAGCGTCGCCTATTTGCAATCGCCCCAGTCTCTTTCCCTGTGTTGGCTGAGTCTTTCAGTTAAAAATAGCAAGGAGCAATGGCAGTTCGACCTTGTAAAAGAAAGTTTACTAATTGAACTACTTTGTCATCCCATAACACTGTTGCCATGGAACCTCCCTCTCTCTCTCTCTCTCTCTCTCTCTCTCTCTCTCTCTCTCTCTCTCTCTCTCTCTCTCTCTCTCTCTCTCTCTCTCTCTCTCACACACACACACACACACACACACACACACACACACACACACACACCCGGTGACGTCACAACTGCACGTGTGGAAGGCGTCACCAAAATTCTACACTATACTCTAGTAAAGAATCTTTGGTGTTCCCCTTGAACTCGCCCCCATTTAGTTATTGAATAGTATAATTTATTAAGTAATGATAGTGACAGTAGTTGGGCATCGAAACTTTTAAACGACTATTCACTTCCCTACGCATGCCATGAGTGTATTTTTTTTTTCTTCTTTATTTGAAGCAGAATGTTAAAGTGGTTACCCCCATTCACCACAAATGAGGTCACAATAGGACTTCAAGCAGGACAAAAAAAAAAAAAGTTTTAGTAAGAGTTTCACGGCACTTGCAGCACGATAGGTGCCAAAGATCAGATGTGATACAAGAGAGACATAAAAGGTGGGGAGATAAGGACGATAGATGTTTGATAGGGAAAAAGGAGCACACCACACCAGAGCACCCACCAACGCCACCGCAAGATATTATATATTGGATATAGAGACGAAAATGAGTAGTTAAATAATACAGATGTGGGACGAACACTGATAGTGAAACGAAGATGTGAGACCAACACGGTTGCACCCGACCCAGTAGTAGTGTTTGGCAAGTCTTCACACTCTGCACTCTGCGCTCTTCTAATTCTGTCAATCGTGTAGAGACAACTGACCTAAAAAGATAATATATTTATATTTTAGGTCAGTGGTAGAGACCTATACGTTGTTGCTCTGAGCGTCTAAGTAAGTAGAGACCAACGGGTAGAGAGAGACCCATCGAGCTGACACGTAACGATAACCCTGCTGGGGTATCATGTTTTTGAGAGCTCTAGAGACAAGGCGACAGAACGCACTTTGATAAATATCTTTTGTCCCAATCGCTATACCAGAATTACATAGTTTGATCTGCTCAGTACCTAGTTTTGAGAAATCTGATGTTAAAAATTTGAAGCTTCACAACATGTCGCTCTTTTTCGAATGCAATTCTTTGAATATCTTGATACCGACTCCGAATAAACTTACGGTTTTGATATAGCTGATACTACATTTAGTTTCTGACTTCATGGTCTTAGTAACTCAAAACGGCCCAAACTGTCAGATGGAATTTTTAAATTCTAAGGTAGTGAAATGAAAAGCATACCCATCTGCATCGTGTTGTTTCGTAGTGTTGAAGTTTGTGGCCATCCTGACACGGTTAACTAACACCCTTCTCTGAACAAGTTACATTAATTGTGATGATAATATGAGTGTGTATCCAAACGCAATGGGATTAGGCGCTCGTCAATTTTGGGGTGTTATAGAATTATTGGTAAACAGTTAACTCCTTCACATTTACGTGACGTATAAGGGCTCACGTCTCCTGTGTGTGTGTTTGAGAGACCGTACACGTAACGTTCAGGAAGCAATTGTGAGGCAGCGTGGTGGAATCAGGCTCTCGTCAATTTTTGGGCATGTGGAGTTATTGATATCATCTTAAAGCTTGTTCATTTGTCTTTATTTGAACGAAAAAAATATCCATTTATCTTGAATACAAGTCGAGATATTTGAGAATGAAGTAGGTGGGGGTCACCTGTTTTCAGAGGTAAAATTAGTGAGAAAATGGCCTCCAAAGATTAGTTATTTCCTTAGCTTAAGAGCCCGTGGTAACTGAAAGTTTACTTTTTTGTTCCTTTAATCAACGTTTTAAAAAAAATCCGCACAGAAATGAGTTCTTTCATGGGCATGAAAAGTGTTGAGCCAAAAAAACAAAAATGTGATAAAAATTCACAAACCTGTGGAAAAATGTATGTTTCTTCATTTTGATTATTTTGACGAGAGCCTGATTCCACAACGCTGCCTCACAATTGTTAATGTGTCGGAGTCCAGGAAAACGCAAAAAAATGTTTCATTCTTTAAACGCCCGTACATTCGTGTGACTTGTATCAACTTTGCTTTATTGGATTGGTATATTTGATCAACTTGTCGAAGACATAAATAACATAAGATAAGACAGCATAAGATAATATAATAATTTATTATCCCAGAGGGAAATGTTTCTTGGCTGTACAGGACGGTAAAAACACGTGCAGGTATACATAAACATTAAAAAAACATATTATATTACTACTCTCATGAAAATTCAATATGAAAAGTAAAGTAAATCTGACAAAATGTACATATCACATCAGCAGCATCATTCAACCACTTGTAGGAATTAAATTCCAAGACCTTTAGAGTTATATAAATACATACTCGAAAGAGCAATACACATTGATGTTTATTCTGACAATAGTTTTATGCTCGATGGTAAAAAACTTCCTTTATAAAATAAAAATATCTTTCTTTCTTTGTTTTTAGAGGTACATATATGCCGTTGCGCGATCTTAAAATTTGCGAGGAAAGGGGGTGTGATGGGTCGTTTGTAATGCTTTTTATCTTTTAAAAAAAAATAGTTGTGGCCGTATACTTAATCCATTCAAGTAAAATCATACCCAGAGACCTTCCTGCTTTTTACTAGAATAAATATCACAATTAAATATAAAAACACACAAAACGAAAAACAGACTTTCAAAAAAGAAATCCCAGCTTTCATTGCATAAGGGACAAGAGCCACGTCATTCTGTCCATACGGCGTAATATAACCGTTTTTGTGGAAGTAAAAGAGGTCTCCATTCGTCTCCCTGACGGAGAAGGAGAGAGAGAGAGAGAGAGAGAGAGAGAGAGAGAGAGAGAGAGAGAGAGAGAGAGAGAAAGAGAGAGTGAGAGAGAGACAGAAAGAGAGAAAGAGAGAGAGAGAGAGACAGAGAGACAGAGACAGAAAGAGAGAAAGAGAGAGAGAGAGAGAGAGAGAGAGAGAGAGAGAGAGAGACAGAAAGAGAGAAAGAGAGAGAGAGAGACAGAGAGACAGAGACAGAAAGAGAGAAAGAGAGAGAGAGAGAGAGAGAGAGAGAGAGAGAGAGAGAGACAGACAGACAGACAGAAAGAGAGAGAGAGAGAGAGAGAGAGAGAGAGAGAGAGAGAGAGAGAGAGAGAGAGAGAGAGAGGACGACGACGACAACGACGGACACACCAATGGATCGTGGGATAGAGAAAAAGATAAATCCTCAAAATTACATGTTACTCTTTTCTTTTTGCAGTTTCTTAATCTGTGATATTGGTTGTAAATGATGAAGAAATAATTTGTTGAAATTCAAATTTTAAAAGTCTAAAAGAAGCAAGAAAAGGTTGAAAGTGAAAGTACAATCGTTTAAATAAAGAAACAGTTTTTGCGCTTTCCTGGACTGGAAGGAAGGCCACCTAATCAAGCTGCCAAAGAAGGGAGACCTCAGCAATTGTAACAACTGCAGAAGTATAACACTTCTGTTCATACCGGGGAACGTCTATAACAGGAAACTCCTGGAGAGAATCAAGCTGCCAACAGATGAGAAGTTCGCTCCGAGGAAACCAGGCAGGATTCCGCAAAAACCGATCATGTGTGGACCAGATCGCTACTATTCGTTTCATTGTTGAGCAATCGCTTGAATGGAATTCACAACTCGTGGTCAACTTCATTGATTATGAAAAGGCATTTGACAGCAGAGACAGGGGAACTCTGTAGAAACTCATGCGGCATTATGGAATAGCTGGCAAAATCGTCAAGCTTGTGAAGGCCACCTTGTGGAACAAACTGCCAAGTCTTCCATGAAGGACATCTCTCAGAATCATTCCAAGTACAGACAGGATTGCGACAGGGATGCTTGTCTCTCTTTTTCTCTTCTTACTGGCAATCGACTTGGTCAAGAAAGAAGCCACCAGGGGCAAGCGTAATCGAATACAGAAGACCCCTTGGCAGCAGCAGGACGACTTGGACTTCGTCGATGACCTTGCGCTGCTTTCTCACACACATGCTCACAAGCAGGAAAAGACCAAGGAGCTGAACAGCTTATCAAGGGGTGTTGGAAAGCATGCAATATTTCACGGCGCACCAAGATTCGTTCTTTAACTCTAGTCATTTCTGGGCTCCTCTACGGCTTCGAAACTTTGAAAACAACAAAGACAGTGCTGAGTAAAGTCCAGGCTTTCATCAACAGATGTATGAGGAGTATCTTGAACATTAAGTGGCAAGATAGAATAAGAAATGAAGAACTGTGGGAAAGGACAAAACAAAAATAAAGGTATAGCAGTAGAAATAGGGATAAGAAAGAGGCGATTGATGGGACACACCCTCAGAGAGCAGAGCGGAAACATTACAAGACAGTCGCTGTAGTGGAACCCACAGGGAGCACGAGGCAGGGGTAGGCCACGACAAACATGGGGTGGATGTGTCTTAAGGGACATGAGAGAGATTAAGCTCACTTGGACCGAGCTTGGAAGGATAGCCCAGGACAGAGATAATTGGAGGGAGCTTGTATGTGGCCTATACCCTGCCAGGGGCGAAAGACATTGATGATGATGATAGTTGATGAGCATGCCCACGTAATAAATAGCATTATTATAAAAAATACGTTTAATAAGAAACAGGCCAAAACGAAATCCCTGGCTTGCATCAATCAAGGTACAAAGGCAAAGTCATTCCGTCCAGTAGGTGTAATAGAACCGTTCCTGTGGAAGTAAAAGAGGTCTCGATCCGTCCCTCTGAGGGAAGAAGCGAGATTGCTGAGGCCACTCTTGGACTTGAGCAAAACGTGACAGTTGACGAGCAGATGAAACTCGAGAATGAGGCGGCGGAAGGCAGAGCACATGTCCTCCGGGCGTGTGTGTTCATTATATCGGTCTACGTGGTGGAGAGAGCCGGGAATGAGGAGCACTCTGTCCCGGAAACTTTGCTGCAGCGCCATGTTAAGAACCTGCTGGGAGTCGCTCATCACAAACACCACGTCACTCTGCGCAGGCGCATGCTCCTTCAGGAAGTCCCAGACTTGCGGCAAGTTCGAGACAGAGTTGATGGTTACGGAGTCGAGGTGGTTTGAGGGATTTATGCCCATACGTAGGTGCGCGCAGACAAGCCGATGATTCTTTGAGGGCAAGTGGGCAGACAGAAGAGCCTGAAGTTCCCCCTGTAGATGTGGTGTTAATTTAAAGATATGTTTGTATAAAGCGGCGTAGATATCTGAGGGCGACGTGTATCTCATCCAAGATAGTTCCTTTGGGTAGACGAGAGTCTCTCGCAAACCAGTGAGGTAATCCAAATTTGCCTGGAAATAGACATGCTTTGTCTGCTGAAACAGTGTGTCAAAGTTCTGTTCGTGAATGGTGTACTTAAAGTCTCGGCTGTCCGTAAGAATAACAGTCCTGTACTCATGAGGCTTTGGAGAAAACGTGCTAGGTAGGAGCCAATCCACCTTATTAGGGGCCAAATATAAGGACAGATCGCACATTGGTTTCAGAATTTCTATTTTTAGCGCCCGACCTGTCAGATTAGCTATATTGTAGCCGAGCAGGATCCCCTTCAACCTGTCGGCCCACCCACCACAGCCCGACATAGACTCAGAGTCGCACCGGTAGATGAGGTAACGGTCACTATTTCTTCCAGCGTATGGTCCGAACCCTGGTGGGGCGTTGAATCTGTCCCAAAGTAAGAACTTTTCTTGGAACGACAAACTTCCTGGCGTGTCTGGGAGTTCCCGCCAATCTCGACGAACCTGGTACCGGGGTTTCGTTGGTCGGCACAACAGCTGGCGACACAACAACAGCACGGCCAGTGGTATGCAGATGGCGAGGGTCAGCAGGCCGTGCCACGACAGCAGACGACGCTGGACTGGAAGGGGTGGGGGAAGGGGGAGGGGGGAGAAACAAAAGTGGAGGGATCAGAAAAAATAACGAACCAAAAGTGAACGAGGTCAGAAAAACAAAAAGAGAAGGGTGTCGGAAAAAACAAACAAACCAAAAGTGAAGGTGGTCAGAAAAAATAAACCAAAAGCGAATGAGGCTAGAAAAGGTAAACGACAGCAGACGACACTGGACTGGGGCGGGGAGACAAACAGAAAAAAAAAACGAACCAAAAGTGGCTGGAGGGAG